AGATAGAACAGTTGGCACACAGAGAGAACAGCTCACCACTGGCACACAGAGAACAGCTCAACACTGACACACACAGAGAGAACAGCTGGCACACAGAGAGAACAGCTCACCACTGTCACACACAGAGAACAGCTCACCACTAGCACACAGAGAGAACAGCTCACCACTGGCACACAGAGAGAACAGCTCACCACTAGCACACAGAGAACAGCTGGCACACAGAGAGAACAGCTGGCACACAGAGAGAGAACAGCTCACCACTGGCAAACAGAGAGAACAGCTCACCACTGGCACACAGAGAGAACAGCTGGCATACAGAGAGAACAGCTCACCACTGGCGCACAGAGATCAGCTCACCACTGGCACACAGAGAGAACAGCTCACCACTGGCACACAGAGAACAGCTCACCACTGGCACAGAGAGAACAGCTCACCACTGGCACACAGAGAGAGAACAGCTCACCACTGGCACACAGATGAGAACAGCTCACCACTGGCACAGAGAGAACAGCTCACCACTGGCACAGAGAGAACAGCTCACCACTGGCACAGAGAGAACAGCTGGCACACAGCGAGAGAACAGCTCACCACTGGCACACAGAGAAAGAACAGCTCACCACTGGCACACAGAGAGAGAACAGCTCACCACTGGCACACAGAGAAAACAGCTCACCACTGGCACACAGAGAGAACAGCTCGAAGCTTTAAATCGAAATTTAGGAGGGGGTTTGTCGATCGACCGCCGGCACCTGTGGTCAATACAGGGAGTCGTCTACTTACGAACATTCGGCTTTACGAACTTTCAGAGATACGCACAAAACCTGGTTTGTGTATGTCCAGTTGAAGCTGATCGGACCGAAAGTCCGTAAGTTCAACCACCGCCCAATAGATGGCGGTGGTGGCATCTACATCTACAGAACGTGAATAACCAGTGGCATCTACATCTACAGAACGTGAAGAACCAGTGGCATCTACATCTACAGAACGTGAATAACCAGTGGCATCTACATCTACAGAACGTGAAGAACCAGTGGCATCTACATCTACAGAACGTGAAGAACCAGCGGCATCTACATCTGCAGAACGTGAAGAACCAGCGGCATCTACATCTACAGAACGTGAAGAACCAGCAGCATCTACATCTACAGAACGTGAAGAACCAGTGGCATCTACATCTAGACAATGTGAAGAACCAGCGGCATCTACAGAACGTGAAGAACCAGCGGCATCTACATCTACAGAACGTGAAGAATCAGTGGCATCTACATCTACAGAACGTGAAGAACCAGCGGCATCTACATCTGCAGAACGTGAAGAACCAGCGGCATCTACATCTACAGAACGTGAAGAACCAGCGGCATCTACATCTACAGAACGTGAAGAACCAGTGGCATCTACATCTACAGAACGTGAAGAACCAGTGGCATCTACATCTACAGAACGTGAATAACCAGTGGCATCTACATCTACAGAACGTGAAGAACCAGCGGCATCTACATCTACAGAACGTGAAGAACCAGCGGCATCTACATCTACAGAACGTGAAGAACCAGCGGCATCTACATCTACAGAACGTGAAGAACCAGTGGCATCTACATCTAGACAACGTGAAGAACCAGCGGCATCTACATCTACAGAACGTGAAGAACCAGCGGCATCTACATCTACAGAACGTGAAGAATCAGTGGCATCCTACATCTACGAACGTGAAGAACCAGCGGCATCTACATCTGCAGAACGTGAAGAACCAGCGGCATCTACATCTACAGAACCGTGAAGAACCAGTGGCATCTACATCTATAGAACGTGAAGAACCAGTGGCATCTACATCTGCAGAACGTGAAGAACCAGCGGCATCTACATCTGCAGAACGTGAAGAACCAGCGGCATCTACATCTGCAGAACGTGAAAAACAAGTGGCATCTACATCTGCAGAACGTGAAGAACCAGCGGCATCTACATCTGCAGAACGTGAAGAACCAGTGGCATTTACATCTGCAGAATGTGAAGAACCAGTGACATCTACGTCTGCAGAACCTGAAAAACCAGTGGCATCTACATCTGCAGAACGTGAACAACCAGTGGCATCTACATCTGCAGAACGTGAAGAACCAGTGGCATCTACATCTGCAGAACGTGAAGAACCAGTGGCATCTACATCTGCAGAACGTGAAGAACCAGCGGCATCTACATCTGCCAGAACGTGAAGAACCCTAGAGTGGCATCTACATCTGCAGAACGTGAAGAACCAGCGGCAATCTACATCTACTAGAACGTGAAGAACCAGTGGCATCTACATCTTGCAGAAACGTGAAGAACCAGTGGCATCTACATCTGCTAGAACGTGAAGAACCAGTGGCATCTACATCTTCAGAACGTGAAGAAACCCGGTGGCATCTACATCTGCAGAACGTAAGAACCAGTCGGCATCTACATCTGCAGAACGTGAAGAACCAGTGGCATCTACATCTGCAGAACGTGAAGAAACGGTGGCAATCTACATCTGCAGAACGTAGAAGAACCAGCGGCATCTACATCTGCAGAACGTGAAGAACCAGTGGCATCTACATCTGCAGAACGTGAATAAACGAGGTGGCATATACATCTATAGAAACGTGAAGAACCAGTGGCATCTACATCTTCAGAACGTGAAGAACCAGTGGAATCTACATCTGCAGAACGTGAAGAACCAGTGGCATCTACATCTGCAGAACGTGAAGAACCAGTGGCATCTACATCTGCAGAACTTGAATAACCAGTGGAATCTACATCTGCAGAACGTGAAGAACCGGTGGCATCTACATCTGCAGAATGTGAAGAACCAGTGGCATCTACATCTGCAGAAAATAAAGAACCAGTGGCATCTACATCTGCAGAACATGAAGAACCAGTGGCATCTACATCTGCAGAACATGAAGAACCAGTGGCATCTACATCTGCAAAACATGAAGAACCAGTGGCATCTACATCTACAGAACATGAAGAACCAGTGGCATCTACATCTTCAGAACGTGAAGAACCAGTGGCATCTACATCTGCAGAACGTGAAGAACCAGTGGCATCTACATCTGCAGACGTGAAGAACCAGTGGCATCTACATCTTCAGAACGTGAAGAACCAGTGGCATCTACATCTGCAGGAGATTATACAACTTTTAAAGCCATTCCCTGAGCTGAGTGAACAAATCGACTTACCAACAACGGACCTCTGGAATCTAACTCGTTCGTAAGAAGAGGAGTCCATGCATCTTGCTAATTACTGCCTGGCGAAGGCAGGAAACCCCATTGGTCCCCCCCCCACCCTAAAAAAACAGCCCACAACGAGCCATGCCACCAACATGTCACACCCACACGCCACGCCAAAACAAGCCACGCCCCCCCTGAACAAGCCACGCCCCCCCCCCCAACAAGCCACGCCCCCCCCCCACAGCCACACAAGTTGGAAAAGGAACCTGTTGACTTTGACTCACCACCACTGTGACCCATTGTGTTTTGGCTTCAATATATAAAACAAAAACTTTGCTGGCCAGGCTATGGCGTCATTGCGTGTGACGCCAAGAGGCTTTGCCCGAGGCAAGGCCGGTGAACTGCCAGACCACAAGATGCAATTACCCCTCCCCCCTCCCCCCTTCTCTATTCAATGCAGGGTCCCCCCCCCCCAGTTTGACACAAAACTCCACGGCAACACGGCAAGTCCTCGCTGAACGCGTGGCAGCATTCACGCCGTCATAATGCAGAACGCCCAGTGTTATATTGCGGAATGCGCACCGTTACAACGCGCGCGTTATACCGTGGAGCCTACACCGATGTAACGCCGAACACGGCTGTTAAACCGCAGAACGTGTGCGGTTTTCGGGGGCATGTCGACTACCGCCACCCAATTGCGACGCCGCGCCGAAACGAGGCGAATCAAGAGAAGTCAAGTTGGACTCGCAAACGAATGAACAGGCTCTGCCTACGAACCGGCTCGCCAACCACCCGGCCCGCCAACCAACCGGCTCGCCAACCAAACGGGTCGCCAACCAAACGGCTCGCCAACCAACTGGCCCGCCAACCAACCGGCTTGAGAACCAACCGGCCAGGCAACCAACCGGCTTGAGAACCAACCGGCTGAGGACCAACCGGCTCCGCCAACCAACCGGCTCGCCAACCAACCGGCCCGTAAACCAACCGGCCCGAACTAACCGGCCCGCCAACCAACCGGCTCGAGAACGAACCAACTCCAGAACAGACCTCTGGAACCCTAACTCGCTCGTGGAGTAGAGGGAAGTCCCTCCCAGTAACTCGCCAATTCCTGTCTCGCGAAGGCAGGAAACCACCGCACCGGGCCCCTACCTACCCTCAATAAGCCACGCCCCCTCCCGCCGCTACCCGCTCTCTCTCTCTGGATTACAGTTTACCGATTCTCGCCAAAAATGTTAATTGCCTAACGCGTCGTTTTCCGCTTTCGTTTGAAATGTTACTTTCTTTATACCGATTCCGCAACGCGACGCAACGGAGGGCTTCCGACAACCGCGCCCAGCACCCCAGCCCTCACCCCCTCCTGCCCCCCGCCCCCTCGACTCATTTCAGCCGTCGCTAGGGGGGGGGGGGGGGGGGTGTGCTACATGCGCTACGATGTAAAGCAACGTAAAAAAAGTAGTGTATATAAAAAAATAATCCACCTATTCTCAATGGATCAGACGGCCCACGACCAATCGCGCTCTCTCGCTCGCCGTCCCACAAGCCCCCCACCCGAGCGACGGGCTGCAGACGCCCACATCGAGAGGCCGCCGCTACACGGAGGGGCGGCCGGCGCGCGGTGCGGACGAGACGGGCAAGCGGCGATCAGGCCAAGTCGACGGAACTGCGCGTCTGCGCCGGCACCATCACCGCCACGGCGCCCATTCCGCGCCAGATTCACCCGGTGCGCCGGGCTCGCCGGGCCCCCACCCGCCCCGAGGCCCGAGCCCCCCCCCGCTACCTTGGCTTCGGCGGCTCGGGGGAGTGACTGGGCGGAGGTCAGTCCTCCGAGTCGTAGTCGTCGTCGTCGTGAGCGACGCTCTCGTAGGCCGGTCCGCCGCCGCCGCCGCCGCCGCTGATCTCGCTCTCCTCCCTCACGCTGGGGAAGGCCCCCGCCCTCCCACGGCCGTCCGCTCGCTCGTAGGGCGGCCCGCCAGGGCCCGACGGCCCGGGCGGGGCCGAGCGGAGCGCCAGGAGGCCGTTGGAGGGCGTCGCCGAGCCGATGGAGGTGCGGGTGCTGGGCAGGTCGTGGGCCGCGCGCGTGGGGCGGGCGGCTCATCGACGCGGGGGGGGAGTCGTCCATCCTGCGGAGGGAGGTAAGGTGAGGAGGGGAGGCGAGGGAGGGAGGGAGGGGAGGGAGGGAGGGAGGGAGGCGAGGGATGGAGGGAGGGGAGGGAGGGAGGGAGGGAGGCGAGGGATGGAGGGAGGGAGGGAGGCGAGGTGAGGGAGGGAGGGGAGGGAGGCGAGGGAGGGAAGGCGAGGGAGGGGAGGGAGGGAGGGAGGGGAGGGGAGGGGGAGGGAGGGAGGGGAGGGTGGGGAATCAGACAAACGTCCATCCGTTAAGAGTCACGTATGCTCAGAATCTCAGGAACCAAGAATTTGGATTCTGGAGGAAATGAATCCGATGAGCTATGAAGCTTTCTTCACAGAGGTCAAGTAGGGGCAACGGGGTCAGCGAGTTAACGCTCGCACACACGGAGGCTTCGACTTGCTGGAGTTTGTCCTCCGACTGTCACCGTCCTAGACTCTCAGGGAGCTTCGGAACAACGCTGCTGCTGTGCGAGCGGGCGGGTGGCGAGCGGGCCGGTGGGTGAGCGAGCGGGTGGGCGAGCAGGTCAGTGGGCGAGCGGGTCAGTGGGCGAGTGGGCGGGTGGGCGACGCGAGCGGTGTGGGCGAGCGAGCGGGTCAGTGGGCAAGCGGGCCAGTGGGCGAGCGGGTCAGTGGGCGAACGGTCAGTGGGCGAGTGGGTCAGTGGGCGAACGGGTCAGTGGGTGAGTGGGTCAGTGGGCGAGCCGGGTCAGTGGGCGAGTGGGTCAGTGGGCGAGCGGTCAGTGGGCGAGACGGGTCAGTGGGGCGAGTGGGTCAGTGGGCGAACGGGTCAGTGGGTGAGTGGGTCAGTGGGCGAAGCGGGTCAGTGGGCGAGGGGGTCAGTGGGCGAGTGGGTCAGTGGGCGAGTGTGTCCTAAGTGGGCGAGTGGGTCAGTGGGCGAACGGGTCAGTGGGCGAGTGGGTCAGTGGGCGAGTGGGTCAGTGGGCAAGCGGGCCAGTGGGGCGAGCGGGTCAGTGGGCGAGCGGGTCAGTGGGCGAGTGGGTCATTGGGGCGAGCGGGTCAGTGGGCGAGCGGGTCAGTGGGCGATATGAGCAGGGTAAGCGAGTGGGTAAAATCAAGTGAGCGAGCGAGCGGAGCGGGCGGGCGGGCGGAGCGGGCGACCGGGCTAGTGGGCGAAGCGGGCGAGCGGGCGACTGGGCTAGTGGGCGAGGGGAGCGAGCGGGTGGGCCCTCACCGGATGTCGTTGTGGTAGTCTCGGTCCTGCACCGGCTTGCCCTTGCGCTGGCGCAGCAGGAACCAGACGAGGAAGCCGACCACTGCGACGACGAGCAGCACGCCGATGACGGAGCCCGCACGACGCCGGCGTTACTGCTCGCTGCACGCGGCGCATCACACCAGCAGGCATCACACCAGCAGGCATCACACCAGCAGGCATCACACCAGCAGGCATCACACCAGCAGGCATCACACCAGCAGGCATCACACCAGCAGGCATCACACCAGCAGGCATCACACCAGCAGGCATCACACCAGCAGGCATCACACCAGCAGGCATCACACCAGCAGGCATCACACCAGCAGGCATCACACCAGCAGGCATCACACCAGCATGCATCACACCAGCAGGCATCACACCCACACACCAGCAGGCATCACACCAGCAGGCATCACACCCACACCAGCAGGCATCACACACACACCAGCAGGCATCACACCCACACCAGCAGGCATCACACACACACCAGCAGGCATCACACCCACACACCAGCAGGCATCACACCAGCAGGCATCACACCCACACCAGCAGGCATCACACACACACCAGCAGGCATCACACCCACACCAGCAGGCATCACACACACACCAGCAGGCATCACACCCACACACCAGCAGGGCATCCACACCTAGCAGGCATCACACCCACCCCAGCAGGCATCACACCCCAGCAGGCATCACACACCAGCAGGCATCACCACCAGCAGGCATCACACCCACACCAGCAGGCATCACACACACACCAGCAGGCATCACACCAGCAGGCATCACACCCACACCAGCAGGCATCACACACACCCCAGCAGGCATCACACCAGCAGGCATCACACACACACCAGCGTTACCGTTGTGACGCACTGCACCACACACCCACCAGGCATCGCCACCGGCTAGACTGCTCGCAGCACACCCCCCCCGCAGCACACCCCCCCCCTCCCCCCGCAGCATACCAAGCGACACACCACAAAGATTCCCCCACGTGGCCTTGACAGACTGTTGGGGCAAGTGCCGTTCACGAGTGGCACCTCCGAAAGGCCGGCACGGCACGCGAGGGGGTGGGCGGCCAGCAACCACGCCCGGCCGCCTTTGTCTCCCCAGCGGCGATGTTCACTACACACCGCGCCAGGTTACCAATTCGAGGCCGAGTCGACCTAGTGGAGGCCCAGGGACCGGTTCAGATAACCGTCACCGACGGCGGTGTTGGCCGCGAGCGGGAATCGAACCCGGGTCGCCGGGCTCGCAGCCCAGCGTAGCGCTAACCGTCGCACCACCGCTCCCCACGCACACCTCACACGCACACACAGGCACACGCACACGCACACCTCACACGCACACGCACGCACACACACGCACACGCGTGTAGCGGGAGGCAGACTCACGGGGTACGACGGAGAGCAGGACGACGCACGACTGCCATCCCACACGGTTGGTGGCATTGCACTGGTACATCCCGGAGTGGCTCACGCTCGCGTTCTTGATGGGCAGCGTTCCTCCTGCGTGCCGCGCCAAGCGGGGACAATCGACAGGCGGAAATCTCCCACCACGCCCCCGTCTCTGTGCGAGTCTGTGGGTGTTCATGTGCGAATCCATGGGTCTCTGTGTGAGTCTGTGGGTCTCTGTGTGAGTCTGTGGGTCTCTGTGTGAGTCTATGGGTCTCTGTGTGAGTCTATGGGTGTCTGTGTGAGTATATGGGTCTCTATGCGAGTCTATGGGTCTCTATGCGAGTCTATGGGTCTCTATGCGAGTATGGGTCTCTGTGCGAGTCTATGGGTATCTGTGCGAGTCTATGGGTCTCTGTGTGAGTCTATGGGTGTCTGTGTGAGTCTATGGGTCTCTGTGTGAATCTATGGGTCTCTGTGTGAGTCTATGGGTCTCTGTGTGAGTCTATGGGTCTCTGTGTGAGTCTGTGGTCTCTGTGTGAGTCTATGGGTCTCTGTGTGTGTCTATGGGTGTCTGTGTGAGTATATGGGTCTCTGTGCGAGTCTATGGGTCTCTGTGTGAGTCTATGGGTCTCTGTGCGAGTCTATGGGTCTCTGTGCGAGTCTATGGGTCTCTATGCGAGTCTATGGGTCTCTGTGTGAGTCTATGGTTGTCTGTGCGAGTATATGGGTCTCTGTTGCGAATCTATGGGTCTCTTTACGAGTCTATGGGTTCTCTGTGTGAGTCTATGGGTCTCTATGCAAGTCTCTATGCGAGTCTATGGGTCTCTATTCGAGTCTATGGGTCTCTGTGCGAGTCTATGGGTCTCTGTGCGAGTCTATGGGTTCTCTGTGTGAGTCTATGGGTTCTCTGTGTGAGTCTATGGGTCTCTGTGCGAGTCTATGGGTCTCTATGCAAGTCTCTATGCGAGTCTATGGGTCTCTATTCGAGTCTATGGGTCTCTGTGCGAGGTCTATAGGTCTCTGTGCGAGTCTATGGGTATCTGTGTGAGTCTATGGGTCTCTGTGCGAGTCTATGGGTCTCTGTGCAAGTCTATGGGTCTCTGTGCGAGTCTATGGGTCTCTGTGCGAGTCTATGGGTCTCTGTGCGAGTCTGTGGGTCTCTGTGCGAGTCTGTGGGTCTCCATGTGAGTCTCTGGGTCTCTGTGCGAGTCTATGGGTCTCTCTGCGAGTCCATGGGTCTCTATGCGAGTCTATGGGTCTCTATGCAAGTCTCTATGCGAGTCTATGGGTCTCTATTCGAGTCTATGGGTCTCTATGCGAGTCTATGGGTCTCTGTGCGAGTCTATGGGTCTCTGTGCGAGTCTATGGGTCTCTATGCGAGTCTATGGGTTTCTATGCAAGTCTCTATGCGAGTCTATGGGTCTCTATTCGAGTCTCTGGGTCTCTGTGCGAGTCTATGGGTCTCTGTGCGAGTCTGTGGGTCTCTGTGCGAGTCTGTGGGTCTCTGTGCGAGTCTGTGGGTCTCTGTGCGAGTCTATGGGTCGCTGTGCGAGTCTATGGGTCTCTGTGCGAGTCTATGGGTCTCTATGCGAGTCTATGGGTCTCTGTGTGAGTCTATGGGTGTCTGTGCGAGTATATGGGTCTCTGTGCGAATCTATGGGTCTCTATGCGAGTCTATGGGTCTCTGTGCGAGTCTATGGGTTCTCTGTGTGAGTCTATGGGTTCTCTGTGTGAGTCTATGGGTCTCTGTGCGAGTCTATGGGTCTCTATGCAAGTCTCTATGCGAGTCTATGGGTCTCTATTCGAGTCTATGGGTCTCTGTGCGAGTCTATGGGTCTCTGTGCGAGTCTATGGGTATCTGTGTGAGTCTATGGGTATCTGTGTGAGTCTATGGGTCTCTGTGCGAGTCTATGGGTCTCTGTGTGAGTCTATGGGTCTCTGTGCGAGTCTATGGGTCTCTGTGCGAGTCTATGGGTCTCTGTGTCAGTCTATGGGGTCTCTATGCGAGTCTATGGGTCTCTGTGTGAGTCTGTGGGTCTCTGTGCGAGTCTGTGGGTCTCTGTGCGAGTCTGTGGGTCTCTATGTGAGTCTATGGGTCTCTGTGCGAGTCTATGGGTCTCTATGCGAGTCTATGGGTCTCTATGCGAGTCTATGGGTCTCTATGCAAGTCTCTATGCGAGTCTATGGGTCTCTATTCGAGTCTATGGGTCTCTATGCGAGTCTATGGGTCTCTGTGCGAGTCTATGGGTCTCTGTGCGAGTCTATGGGTTTCTATGCAAGTCTCTACGCGAGTCTATGGGTCTCTATTCGAGTCTCTGGGTCTCTGTGCGAGTCTATGGGTCTCTGTGCGAGTCTATGGGTCTTTGTGCGAGTCTGTGGGTCTCTGTGCGAGTCCTGTGGGTCTCTGTGCGAGTCTGTGGGTCTCTGTGTGAGTCTATGGGTCTCTGTGCGAGTCTATGGGTCTCTGTGCGAGTCCGTGAGTCTCTGTGTGAGTCTATGGGTCTCTGTGCGAGTCTATGGGTCTCTGTGCGAGCCTATGGGTCTCTGTGCGAGCCTATGGGTCTCTGTGCGAGTCTATGGGTCTCTGTGCGAGTCTATGGGTCTCTGTGCGAGTCTATGGGGCTCTGTGTGAGTCTATGGGTCTCTGTGTGAGTCTATGGGTCTCTGTGCGAGTCTATGGTCTCTGTGTGAGTCTATGGGTCTCTGTGCGAGTCTATGGTCTCTGTGCGAGTCTATGGGTCTCGTGTTCTATGGTCTCTGTGTGAGTCTATGGGTCTGTGAGTCTATGGGTGTCTGTGTGAGTCTATGGGTCTCTATGTGAGTCTATGGGTCTCTGTGCGAGTACGATTCTGTTATACCGGCGGCGGGCGGAAGTGTCAACAGTCGACATCGTCATCATCATCGTCGTCGTCATCATCATCGTCATCATCGTCGTCACCATCGTCGTTACCATCGTCATCATCATCGTCGTCATCGTCATCATCATCATCATCGTCATCATCATCGTCGTCATCATCGTCGTTGTCATCATCGTCATCATCGTCGTTACCATCGTCGTTACCATCGTCATCATCATCGTCGTCATCGTCATCATCATCGTCATCATCATCGTCGTCATCATCGTCGTTGTCATCATCGTCATCATCGTCGTCACCATCGTCGTTACCATCGTCATCATCATCGTCGTCATCGTCATCATCATCATCATCGTCGTCATCATCATCGTCACCATCGTCATCACATCAACATCGTCACCATCGTCGTCATCATCATCATCATCATCGTCGTCATCATCGTCGTCGTCATCGTCTACGTCGTCGTCGTCGTCACGATCCTGGCAGTGGCGGCACCCACCAACCACGGGCGGCAACGTCCCCTCCCCGCTGGTCTTCCTCCACTGGTAGCTGATGGGCGACGTGCCCTCCGTGGACAGGCACTGCAGCGACAGGTCCTTGCCCAGCTGCAGCGAACCGTTCACCACGCAGCTGGGCTGGGACGGCTTCACTGTGCCAGGTGGAGGCGGCGAGGGGAGAGGGGGCGAGGGAGAGGGGAGAGGGGAGAGGGGAGAAGGGGGCGAGGGGGAGGAGGGGAGAGGGGGCGAGGGGAGAGGGGAGAGGGGAGAGGGGGCGAGGGGAGAGGGGGCGAGGGGAGAGGGGTGGCGAGGGGAGAGGGGCGAGGGGAGAGGGGGGCGAGGGGAGAGGGGAGAGGGGGCGAGGGGGCGAGGAGAGAGGGGCGAGGGGGAGAGGGGGAGAGGGGGCGAGGGGAGAGGGGAGAGGGGAGAGGGGAGAGGGGGCGAGGGGAGAGGGGAGAGGGGGGCGAGGGGAGAGGGGAGAGGGGAGAGGGGCGAGGGGAGAGGGGGCGAGGGGCGAGGGGGGAGAGGGGAGAGGGGGCGAGGGGAGAGGGGAGAGGGGGCGGGGGAGAGGGGGCGAGGGGAGAGGGGAGAGGGGGCGAGGGGAGAGGGGGCGAGGGGAGAAGGGGCGAGGGGAGAGGGGAGAGGGGGCGACGGAGAGAGGGGGCGAGGGGAGAGGGGGCGAGGGGGAGAGGGGAGAGGGGGCGAGGGGAGAGGGGAGAGGGGGCAAGGGGAGAGGGGAGAGGGGGAGAGGGGGCAAGGGGAGAGGGGGCGAGGGGAGAGGGGGCGAGGGGGAGAGGGGGCGAGGGGAGAGGGGAGAGGGGGCAAGGGGAGAGGGGGCGAGGGGAGAGGGGGCGAGGGGAGAGGGGGCGAGGGGAGAGGGGGCGAGGGGAGAGGGGGCGGCGGTGGCGGTGCTTAGTTTGGCGCGGCTGGCTACGTGACGGGCGCGACAGAAGTTGAACGTGCACACGTGCGACAGGAGGCCGCTGGGGCTGCACAATGTTTCTTAAAATCATCTCGGTGGGAAACTCATTTCGTTAGACGTTTAACACAGAGGGCTTTCGCGACCAATGTCACCCAGAATGGATGTGTTTTGGGTTAGATCACGGTAAATAAATATGAATTGCTTGTCGTTATAAGCCGCCACCCGCCAGACACAGACAACTAGTAAGGGCTGTCACTCGTAAACAGAACGTGGCCATCTTCTTTGCTTCTTTCGGTAAAAGTCACGTAGAAATGAGAATAAAATAATAAAATAACACAATAAAATTATCACGGACGTTTCGGCCACAACACAAGTGGCCTTCCTCAGGTGAAAGGAACAAAAAACTGTCGGGACGACAGAGCTACAATGAACGCTGCTAAGATTCACAGCGTCTTTTAAGCTGGTTGAGAGAAGTGAGGCACCTTGACAAAGGGGTTTACATATCAAACAGGAGAATTTAGCATTGAAATAGCTGAGGGATTAGCTTGTGACTGGTCACAGAAATGGCTATGTTAAAGTCAAAACCTACACATCCACAGAGGCACCTAGTACAAATCAAACAGGAGAATTTATCATTGAAACAGTTGAGGGATTAGCTTGTGACTGGTCACAGAAATGGCTATGTTAAAGTCAAAGCCTACACATCCACAGAGGCACCTAGTACAAATCAAACAGGAGAATTTATCATTGAAACAGTTGAGGGATTAGCTTGTGACTGGTCACAGAAATGGCTATGTTAAAGTCAAAGCCTACACATCCACAGAGGCACCTAGTACAAATCAAACAGGAGAATTTAGCATTGAAATAGCTGAGTGACTAGCTTGTGACTGGTCACAGAAATAGCTATGTTAAAGTCAAAGCCTACACATCCACAGAGGCACCTAGTACAAATCAAACAGGATAATTTAGCATTGAAATAGCTGAGAGACTAGCTTGTGACTGGTCACAGAAATGGCTATGTTAAAGTCAAAGCCTACACATCCACAGAGGCACCTAGTACAAATCAAACAGGAGAATTTATCATTGAAACAGTTGAGGGATTAGCTTGTGACTGGTCACAGAAATGGCTATGTTAAAGTCAGCCTACACATCCACAGAGGCACCTAGTGCATGGACGCCAAAGGGGCTGCAACAACTCAACTATCATACAGTAAACCGATGTGAACAAAACCTAAGTCTAAATTACACAATCCGCAAAGCCATCACTCCAGTCATGAAGAAGGATCCTCTTGTGGAGCTACTCAAAACCATCACCTTATCCTACATTGCAGGGGTCACTAAAAAGATCTCCAAAATCCTGAATAAACACAAGATCCAGGTCCGATTCAACACAGTACAAAAAATCCGTGATCTGGTTCCATCTGTCAAAGATGCTGTTCCAGACATACAGTACCCGGGCGTTTACAAACTAAAGTGCCTCTGTGGTAGTAGTTACATTGGAGAAACCAAACGACATATCTCGGACCGCATCCGCGAACATAAAGCAAACTTGAAACACGGTAGAACGAACTCCTCCGCCGTGGCAGATCATTGTTATAATTCAGTGGGCTCACATGACATTGACTTCTCCAAGACGGAGGTTCTTTGCAAGCCAACTGGCTACCATGACAGATTCGTTCATGAGGCTATCCACATAAACAAGCACAGAGACAATTTCAACCAAGAAGATGGATTCTGGCTTAGTAACCATTGGAAAGATATTTTAAACCATTTCGGTTCTTAATTAATTATTTTATGGTGACCTTCAGACCGCAGCTCTTTCGCTGGCATTGACTCTTAATACTTCTCACACCACGGTTAATGGTATGGTTTATAACATGATTATAACAGCGCCTCGCAGCTGTTTCTCTCCTCTGTTCTGACCATGATGGACTCGTCCGTCTGAACGGGGCTCGTAGCGGTCCGTGGTGCTGATGTGGAGGGTAAGAATCCACCCATATTTTCGCCATATAGCATCGTGATATATAACGACTTATTGTTGGTAGCTCAGCTGATTGGAGAATATATAGTTTATTGATAACATTTAGGTAGTTTATATTTTAATTTTTTATCTGTTTACTATATAGTATTCATTATATAGTGTAGTGGATACCCAGTTGCTGTTAATAGCTCTGCTTATTGAAGAATATATTGAGTACATTTATTATATTGATGTAATTTAGACTTAGGTTTTTTTCACATCGGTTTACTGTATGATAGTTGAGTTGTTGCAGCCCCTTTGGCGTCCATGCACTAGGTGCCTCTGTGGATGTGTAGGCTTTGACTTTAACATAGCTATTTCTGTGACCAGTCACAAGCTAATCCCTCAACTGTTTCAATGCTAAATTCTTGTTTGATTTGTACTAGGTGCCTCTGTGGATGTGTAGGCTTTGACTTTAACATAGCCATTTCTGTGACCAGTCACAAGCTAATCCCTCAGCTATTTCAATGCTAAATTATCCTGTTTGATTTGTACTAGGTGCCTTTGTTGATGTGTAGGCTTTGACTTTAACATAGCTATTTCTGTGACCAGTCACAAGCTAATCCCTCAGCTATTTCAATGCTAAATTATTCTGTTTGATATGTAAACCCCTTTGTCAAGGTGCCTCACTTCTCTCAACCAGCTTAAAATACGCTGGGAATCTTAACAACGTTCATTGTAGCTCTGTCGTCCCGACAGGTTTGTTCCTTTCGCCTGAAGAGGGCCACTTGTGTTGTGGCCGAAATGTCGTGAGAATTTTATTGTTTTATTTTGTTATT